TATATATTTATATATTCAATTAATCATTTCGACTCCGTGTAAATTTGTGATAGATTATAAGAATAACAGTCATTATGATAAGTGGTATTACAGTTAACTGTGTTGTTTCACTCCTGTTTGTATCTTTGTGTGTTTGTATTGTGTAAGTTCACCAATTTGATTATGAAATACAGAGCGCCGAAAAGGTGTTGCTTTCATAGTGTGTTTTGTATCATTTACTGTCTTTTTCCTTAACAGTATAATTGTTGATCGTCTTTTAATAGTAATACAAGCAAAGTACATTTCAAATGTATTTGAGACTCATTCTGGTGTACTACATACATATTCCAGTGAGTGATGGTGTACCCAGCATCTATCACCTCAAACTCCCAGTTCCAAATCGATCATGCATTGACTTCAATTCGAGAAACATTGGAAACCAGGGAGTACTCGATAGCTGTTTCGTGCTTGTTTGCTACTGTTCAGCAGCAATACGTTCCCATCACCCCATCAGAGATTGAATCAACGACCTTCAGGTTACAAGGTGAGCGACAGGCTCAAATGGTTTATGAATTCTCGCTTCTGCCGACTCACGATACGTAGCACGACCTGCGATCAATGTTATTGACGAGTATTTGTCCTCATATCCAACTTTTTGTTCTCCTGTGGTCACGACTTCCCAAAACAACTTCAAGTCGAATTGTTATCCATGAAGTAGTTGAAGCATGAAAGCCATTTCCTGTGTAGTTTTTTTTATTTATTGTAATTGATTTGGATTTCCTGATGATGAACTTCACTGGACTGAAATGTTTCATGTATGTTGGCCTGTCGTTATAGTAAAGTTAGGCAATGTGGAACTCAAAATAATCAAAATCAAGAAGAGGATAAAGATTGTGTTTACATTGACGCTTCGTATTCATTGAATTCTGATAGTCTTCTATCTTCTAATATTGAAAAATCTTAGGGGTTTACAATACCAAATTTTATAAATGGTAATCTAATTGGCATTCTTCTACGTGAATAGTTAAAAAGGCAACGAATGTGGGTTAATGCGTATGGTGGGGGTATGGTGTGTTTGCTTCACTCTTTGCGTTCCGTGTGGAACATAAAGCCTCAAGCTTCGAATAACGTTGAGAGGAGGGTATTACTTACTAAGCACACACCCATCCCCCTCTCTTTTCCGGGCGTTTACAACCAACCTGCTAGTTAACTTGGCGAGGTTTAAGGGTGTGTCAGTCGACATTTGAACTCGAACTTCCCGTATTTTTTCGTCATTTTATTTCTTTACGTTTCTTAGGGTAACATAGGTCTTCAAGCTAGATCTTTAAAGTTTTGGTAGCAGTGGTATTTATTTTTACGGGGTGGGATTGTTAGCCCCATGTTCAACCTTCCTTCTTCGCCGGTCTTATTGCTGACTTGGCCAGGTTCAGGAATGCGTCAGCGGGGAAGTATTATTTGACATGACTTCATAAGTAATAGTTTGAAATCAAACAAGATGATAATTGTCATTATATAGGAAAAAATGATCCCGTTGAGAGCGATAACGATGAGTCATAGACAGGATTCAAAGCTCAGACCCACATGCCAATACCGTGGCAGTCAGAAAAAGTCGAATTTCGGCTTTATCGCTAAATCTTAACATACTTATATCGAGTTGTGATAGATACAAGCTGGACAGAACTTGTTCTTTTTTTTTCATTCACATTGCTGAACAATCAGAAAGGAGACGAATATCTATCACTTTTTTCCACTGATGCTTACCGGTTATCAAGCTCCTCAAATACGTTTTGCCTAAGCAATGTTGTAGTCGTTCATTGATCATGTGTTCACCCTTCGTCAGTGGTTGGAACATCACCAACCAACAATCGTTGTGTTTCTTGATATTAGGTCTGCCTTCGATTCCTAGGATAGAACTGTTCTCTGGAACTGTCTGTTGGAGAGGAGTGTACCTGAGAAGTGTGTTAACATCCAGACAGACAGATCTGTTCCTCTGGAGAGAGGCTTTCTCACCTCGAGTATGCAGGCGATACCGTCTTACTGTGCGGTATCATGCGGGTCGCTCAAATCGCACGTGTTCAGTTGGCGACCAGTATATGTAGACATGGTATGTGCTTTGCGCTGTCTAAGTGCAAAGGACTTACAAGATTGGCAGGAACCTATACCTGCAATCACTCTTACAGGTGAACCACTTGAAAATGTCGATAAGTTTGTGTATCTGGGTAGTCGTGTGAGTGGTGACGGACGAAACTTCCAACCGTGTCATGACAGCTAAGATCGCATACGCCAGCTGTCATAGTGCTCCTGTGTTACCTGCTTTAAGGTGAATTTCTGCAGATTTCATGAAGTTTTGTAGGGGATACTCGATCATCAGTGATGTTTAGGATGTATCACAAGTCGCCGAAATCTTAGGCAACAAGTAAACTGTAATCCCCTCATAATAACCATTCGTTTCATCCTTGATGAATTTGTATTAATGAAAGCAGCTCTGAAAGTTAAAAGTGAGTGACTTAGTGATTTTAGAAATTTTTATTTTATTCCTTTACATTCCGAGTGGAACACAGGGCTTCAAACTGTTACGTAATCAACTTGAACACACTCACTTATTCCTTAATTACTTTTCATTTTTTCCAAGATAATGCACCACACAATCCCTTTTAATTATGTGTATTAATTTTCTTCTTTAATTATCACCCTAGTGACATGTTGATATTGATTAATCATTGTTAACAAACATATCGCCACTTGATTGGTAAATTGTTGTGTATTGTAATATATATATATATATATATATATATATATATATATATATATACATTAAAGTAGAGACAGAGGTGAATATCTAATTGAAAAGGAAATATCATGAATTGACAGGAGTTGGAATTCATGGACTGGTCATTGGATCGCGTCTCAGTAGCTCAATGGTCTACGAGCTCGCCTTGTAACTGAAAGATCCTGGGTTCGAACCCTGGCGGTGGACGTATACCGCTGAAGAGTCCCGAACTTGGTTGACGAAACAGCTGTCCAGAAGCCCTAGCTGGTTTTTGCATGGTCCTCTAACCGATGTCAGTTCATGATAAAATCCTGAAAATAAATAGTATTTGTGTGACGAACGTACTAGACTGAATCCAATTACAAATATTGTGAAAAAGGAGGTAATGGTGGTGATTAGTCATAATAGATTCATACATTGTCGGGTAGGAAAAACTGACAAGTTGGTTCAAGGTTCTAATATGTGTCCGGTGAGTGGCCAGTACAAAGTAGTATGCATTAAAGAAGAGATAGTAAGACTAGAGTGGAAGGTTCATCATGAAATAACCAGCATTTGAAATGAAACAAGTGGAGGCATATATTAAGAAAAGAGATTATATCACTAACAAAAAAGTCTGAGTAGTATAAGTGGAAAATTCGATAGTATTAAAAAAATGCTCGAATGAAGGGTATAAATTATAACGAATAGCAATGATAACTGCAATAATAAGGAAGAGAAAAAAAGGGGAAGGGGCACTCCTGGACAGAAGATGAAACTTTAATCCAGGTTTGGCCACGGTACGATCAGCGTCTGAACGTGTTCTTTTTGGATACAAAGTTCTGGTTTAGTCAATCCTATAACAACAGCTTCAGCTATATGCAGGAGACGTAATCGAATTGTGCGTGATAACAACTTCGGAATTCGGTATCCAACCTTGATGGCTGTGCTGGCGTCAGTGCGTTGTCCAATATCGACCAAATGTTACAGAATCGAGCTATTTTATGCTTGTGACTTCCTGCCCCCCTCTTTTGTTGAACCAAGCTCGTAAATGTTCTCTCAAACACGTAGACAAACCCATTTAGTCGTACGCCCTACATGACATGAACCACAGGAACATCTGAAATTATATATATGCATGAGGAAGGGCTAAGGTTAGGTATTCTTCGTTCAGATTGACTTTTAATTCATGATATGGGAATATTTCACACTATTAAATCTTATAAGCATCCTTTTGCGTTAAAGGTAGGTCATTGTGTCATAATAAGCATAATGACCATGCGTAAATTTCTATGTATCAGTCTAGAAGTTGTGTAAGACATAAAGAGTCGCGAAAAGTAGGAAATATGTTTGTATATAAAGTTATGTAGAGATTTAGATTTGCTGAAAAATCGGCTTCATTTAGAGAAATAGAGAGTCATTAAATACCAAAGAGTATTTGATTGCTGTCCCTGGATTAAGGATGAACTTATTACCAGGGAATAGTCATCTTGACTTAGAATATGCAGATGATATAGTCGTCTTACATGAGAGGGGCTTCTGAACACCTTGAGGAGCAGCAATCTTCGTTTGTTTGACATGCGATCTGCTCCCGTCAAATGTAAGGTGATCCTACAGGACTTGACAACACTGATTGATTCCTAGGTTAAATATAGTGAGCGAAGTGGAACAGCATGTCGACCACTTCACTTGTTTGGGAAGTTCCACTAGCCAGCCCCGATGGGTTGATCGCTGACGAAATCCCAACACTGATATAAAAGGCTCGTGTTGTAATTGCCGACCTACATCATCTTCGGCGTAGACGTGATATCCGGCTATCAATGAAAGGACGTGTACACTGTTCGGTAGTCCGCTCCGTCATCCTTTATCGCTGTGACAGAGATATGGCCATTGAAAGTGGAAGACATGAAAAGCCTGGCTAGCTGTCTTTGATCAACATTATTATACCATTTAATACGAGAGATAGAAGGTAAACAGCCACAATGGAATCAAAGACAGTTAGCCCTTTCACTCTCAGTAGGAATATCTCACAGCTATAAAGTAGGACAGGTTGACATAGCAACGTCTATTATACCGTCATTGGAAGACTTATTAAAGGCACACATCATGTGGTATACTTGTGATTTTATTATTACAATAATAATAATAATTAAATATCAAAATAAAATATTAAATGAATAAGTAAACTTATTTTAAATTAATTGAAATTATTTATCCAGTTAAAAATAAGTTATTTTTGATTTCGCGCCACATTGAAATTTAAACAATGTGTTGTTCAACTTTCAGGAGGATCACTTTTCATCTTCTCAAATTTCTCTGCTCTATACACAGACTTTAATTCTTTTAATAATTCTTTATTCTTGCTAACTTCTTCTACTTCATCTTGTTTCTCTAACTCTTTCTCTAAACACTCCCATGTATCTGTAAAACGTAGTATAAGTGAAACAGGTTCATTAGGTGGTTCCATTTGTTGTTGACGTAATGCAATAGGCAAATGCAGTTCAACATTTGCTGATCTTAAACTCATCAATAATTTAATCACTTGATCCCTTTTTTTCTCTTGAATTGAATTAGCCAATAGGATAACAGTCGGGGCTTCATACATGAATAATTTTTTATTATTTCCATTAGGCTTTGAAGTGTATTCAATGAAAAAAGCTGACTGGAAAGGATTTGAACCAACTGTCAATAGGTATTGTAAACATTCATTAGCACGATAAAGTAAAGCATAGCCTAATAGATTAGATATAATGATTTTACGTAGAATTGGATCAATTGACGGGATATTTTCTAAATAAAAATAACGTTCAATATTATATGGACATTTTTTAATATAAGCTTGTAAATAATTTAAATTATTATATTCTATACATTTCAAGATTCTTTTATCAACTATATACGGTGGAAAGGTAATGTCCACTTCATCATTGAATTCACGCATTCTACAATCATTTATCTCTTGATACATGTTCATTACAGGGATTTTATTTGAGGGTATTGGATAAGTAGACATTCTTTTTTCTTTGTTTACTGTTTTTTTTATCAATTAGTAATTATTTCAGTAGTCTGTGTTGATATATATATATATATATGTTGGAAATTTGTGCTATTAATTACTTAATTGTATGTATTACTAACTAAAATTGAGATAAACTAATCGATTTTGTTTGAGATATTTAAAGTAAGTAAGGGAAGAAATCGATAGTGAGGTCACGTGACTATAAATGCATGTATGACCATTGAAGGATCATAAATTTATTGTATTATTGTCGAAGTTCAACTATAGCGTCCCAGGAGTGTAAACGCTCCAATGACCTTGAACGCATGCTAGTCGTTAGCTGACGGCACCTGTCATTATCATAGCTGAAATATCAAGGCTATTCACCACTCAGATCACGTTTTTAAGTACTGATTCGACAAAGTGTTAATAGGTCGTTAGGATTAGGGTTAGCATCAGGGCTGTGATTAGCGTTAGAATTACGTTTTCGATAAGGGTTAGGATTAAGTGTTACGGTCACGATTAAGGTTGGGTTTACTATTAGGGATAGATTTAGAGTTGATGTCATTTATTTTTATTTATTTTCTTATCCACAATTTCCTGGTAAGTAGTCGTCGATCCTCTTACTGGAAATCATAGTAATTCAACTGAGGGCTTTGGGGAAGACTGCACAACAGGATAAGAGAGATAAACGATTCACAAAAACAGCTCACCTCGGTGAATTCATGTACAGAAACTAGTCTAACTTAGAAATTGATACTCCTCATTATAACTGGGACTTATTTATAAGTCATATCAGAGAAAGATAACCTGTTTAATGTGTTTTCATGCATTTCCTTGTAAAAATGTACGTCATTTTTTGCGCAAAAATTCCTCATTTTTATGATTGGTCGGCTGAAGGTCACTTATGCGTTCGCATCCCTTGGGACGCTATTGTTGAAATTTACTGTATTATTGAACTGGACTAACTCCTCACTGTCCAAGTAACTAGGTGACTCATTTTGGGATATTCTGATGATACTGTTCAGAAGGTTTGGAAAGCATGAAAGGTACCCACAGATTGGAAGGGTTCCCTTGCCAAACTACCGTAGAACGGCGTCTTAAGCCTTATCAGAAACTGGCACAGAATCGTGTTCCTGTTCATCCTTTAGCAAGAATTTAGGTCACATCATTTCTGAAAGACTGAGAGATACTCTGGATACTCAACTTCAAAGTGAACTGTGAATTATCAGCGTAGAACTCTGCATAAAAGTACAGCAGTTCAAATTATCATTTTTTGGGACAGCTGTAGATGGAAAAATGCAGAGGAACTATATACTAAACAAAAATGTACAGGAGTAAGCGTAATCACTCGAAGAATACTAAGAGCTTCTAGTATCTACAAGTCGAAAATGAGTCAGCTCATCCGTCCTATTGAGAACGATTTCGAACCATTTCACTGACAGTCTCAAACACTCAGTCTATACGAGCTTATGTGGCTCAATACCGACAGTTAAGGCTTCTTGCATTGGCGCTGTCTTTTCCAAAAATAATTCTATGTCAATTAACATTATTTGTTTGAGAAAGAGTAGATCGGTATGAATAACATATATATATCTCAGCCATCCAAAATGATGAAGCTTCATAACCCTATCCATTGATTTTCCCGCCTTACTTAATCCAATTTATTACTGACCATCTTACACGAAAAATTGCAAGCAGAGAGTGAGAGAGTGTACTGCTTCATCTCTATGGCGTGCAGTGACCCAAATCTTCATCGACTTCATTCAACAACTATATGACAATGGCATGTGCCTGGTGATCCACAATGGAAAACTCACTCAGCGAGGCGTTTGAAGTGAATACAGGAGTAAGACGGGGCTGCCTGCTTGTTAGCACCGATGATGTTCTTAATTGAGGTGGAGTCGATTATGTGTCAGACGGTGCACAGAGAGTTGGAAGACAGGACCGATAAGAAGACTTCAGAAGATCTGGATTTCGCCCGTGGATGATTTATGTTTAATGTCACACAGACTCTCAGACTTAAGAGTGAAAACCAACAAGCTGGTTGAATAGGCAGCCAGCGAATACTGGACTCCAGGTGAACATAGAGAAGACGGGGGTGATGAAAATAACCATCCGACAGCAACAACCAGCACGAGTCACCATCAACTGTTGAAATTTAAAAGAGGCTACTTCCTTCACTTATCTAGGAAGCACGGTTTCAACCACAGGCTCTCGGAACGGATGAAGATGTCAAGATCAGCCAAAATCGGAAAGGCGAGATACGTCTTCGTCACTCCGAAATCAGTTCGGAAATCTTCAGCATCCAGCATAGACAACAAGATTAGGATTTTTAACACAAATGTGATGTCAGTCAGTTACTTTTGCTATGTGGCTCAGAAACTTGACGCGTGCGTCACGGAAAGCATTTCCAATAGACTACTGCAGACTTTTATGAACAGCTATCCTCCCCCGTCGCTGGCTTCATATTGAAGACTAGATGGCCAACCAGAAAGAATTAGCAACAAGAAACTCTGGTTGGGAACATACTAACCAAGAACCTATCGTTCACAAATATTTAGAGGAAAGTGGAGATGGATTGGTCATAAGCTAAGGAGCCCATCAAATAACAACGCGCGCAATGCGGGCCATCATTCGAGTGGAACGCGAATGGGAAATGAGGTTATTGGACCAGTGTCCGAGAGTGACACTGAATAGTTTGTATGAGGAGGGGATGAGAGACTACGGACAATCGTGCGACCAGCTACAGAGGATCTCGGAGAACAGGATAAAGTGTAGACATCCTATTGAAGCCCTATTTTTCACTCGGAAGCCAAGGGAACACTAATAATAATTTATGTATCTCCAGCTTTCAACGACTATATGTCACAATCGGAAACGAGGATGTGGTAAATTGCAAGGAAATACACACGTCCTTTGATGAACAGTCAGACATTAAACCTGTACCAAAAAGATGACCAGCCTTTTGTATACTCGCAATCAATAATCCATTAAGGCTGATACAACTTCCTAAATACACGCTTAACCATTTCACTTCCTATTCCTTAATCAGAGATTCGATTCAGACTAATCCTGCAGCATCCCGATACATTTACACTCACGTAACACACCGAAAACTCAAAGCACAGGACATATATCATTTGATTTACAGTTCAATTTATCTACAACTGAATAGTACAAGCACGCGTGTTTATTTTTAGCGCGAATTGATCAATGTTTCAATATTTGTAATATCAATTAAAACAAACACCCCTTTTTTTGTTGTTTAAAATACTTTTTTTAATAATTTCAAAAAAAGAAAGAAAATCTAATCATCACATTCAAACTGTACACAAATCTGTTTAATAATATCTTTACTTATTGAATGATCATTTTGTAAATGTTTTATAAGTTTTACAGCATGTACACGTTCTACATCATCTGTCATTAACCAGGCAACATCAAATCTTGACAATTTGGTTAAAGTTAAAAGACGATCTGTAATCTCATGATTTGTCAACAACGACTGATCACCATGATCTTCGACACATTGACAAAATGCATAAAGCATACGTGATAAAAAATCACTATCCATATTTTCACCGAATAAAGCTTGATAACTTGTAGGTTGTATATTACACAAATAAATAACTGCTTCTTTGGTTAAATTCAATTTTTTAGAATAACTCATTGAAGAACTACCACTTCGACATAATTCGCGTATTTCACGTTCCAGCTGGAACCAGTTCGATGGTGGTTTAGTTATATTGATACTTTGTGATGAAGACAGTGGTAATTTTTGGGGATTATTATGATCACCGGTTGAATTTACCACAGGTTGACTGGATGATTTTAAGGAGTCTGATGGAATTGACTTATCAGTTGGAGAGGGGAACTTCTTCAATGCTTCTGATGATGATGAATTAGTCATTTTGACAGTTGGATGACCTAAGCTTTCTGTTCCATTGACAACTTCTTTTATAGCTGATGAACAGGTTTTAGGAAGTACCTGATGAGAACTGTCAGTATGTGTAGTTTTCTGTGATGAAGGATTACACGACCTGACATTGCCATCAACTTCAATAATGGGGATTTTCCGCATTTTTCTTTGTTTATTATTATTACCGGTTTGAATTAGACTAGATGGTGTAGACGCTACGGATGTGTTCCCTTCTGTTGTTGTATTAGTTAGTGAATTAAGTTCACTTAAAGCAGATTTATTATCTGGATTCAGTTTTAATAATTCCTTTAAATCTTCAATTGCTTCAGAGATATGACCTAAACCTTTACGAGCAAGTGCTCTCCTAAAATGCAAAATAAACAAGAATATTAAAAATCAATCATGTATGAGATACATTAGATTTCATTTGGTGACAGGATTTCATTATGAGCTGTCATCGGTTAGAGAACCATTGGAAAACCACCACCAGAGTACTTACTGAACAGCTGTTTCGTCAATCTAGTTCGGGACTCTTCAGCGGTATGCACACACCACTAGGGTTCGAACCCAGGGCCATCCGGTTGCAAAAATATACGTTATATCTATGAGATTCATCTATCTAAAAATTGCACTGCCTATCTGTAAATTCAACGGAAAGTGTAATTCTCAAGTGAACTGAATTTTCAAAGAATAATATGACACAAAAGTGGATCACTTTAAATTGCCACACTTTATCAAAACGTTTTCTTATCACTATTTTGATTCTGGGATGATGTCATCCCAGAGGCTTCCGTGCCCGTCTCTGTTCGCTAGCCCTGCGACGGGATGGAAAAGGCGGAGAGGTGGTCATTCCATGATGTGGCGTCGTGGAATGAAGGATATTTGTGCTAGGTTAGCGTCTATTGATGCGTCACGACTCCCTGGTCGGAGTCCGAGAGATAGCTCGAAACGTTATCGGATATGGCCAAGAATCGTAATCAATGGCGAACGTGCTGCAATTTCCTTCTTTCTTCCCTTCCTGATGATAGTTGACGAATACTGTTTGAACTTGTTAAGTATGACTGTTTTCCTTCCAGATGAAGTTCTTTATCCG